GTTATTTACATTTAATTCATTTGTCAGACGGCGGCGGATATGGCGGCGGTTACGGACAAAGCAATTACGGCAATCAGGGCGGAGGTTGGAATCAAGGCGGTGGTGGTTATGGCATGAGTGGGTGTTTTGCGAGCTTTGTATTAGAAAATATATTAACCAATGGTTTTGTGTTGAATAGGAGGCGGCGGCGGAGGTGGCGGTTGGAGCAGTGACTACAGTTCCAACTACGGCAACAGCTACGGCGGCGGTCCCGTTAGGGGCGGCGGTAACTATTCCCAGAGGGGAAGCGGACCATACGGTGGTGAGTCATTAGATAGTGATATATAGTTATTGTGTGATTGATATAAATGATTGTCGATTTGATTTGATGTGAATTCTTGCTATAATGAGTTTGTTTTGTGACTTTTGGTGGAACAGGCGGTTACGGCAGCGGTGGCGGCGGCAACAGTGGTGGCAGTTATGGCGGCGGCGGAGGAGGCGGTGGTGGAAACTATGGTCGGAGATAAACGATGAGTGCTATTCTTGGGGTAGGAAATGGTTTATTCGTTTGCTGTATAGGAATGGGATGGATGTGAATGACTGTTATGTTAACTAATTATAACTGTATTTAATTAGTCATTGATTAACGTCTTAATATCTTTTATTCGTCAAAATTCTAGGATTTGTGTCAGAATTACAGTCAAAATCAGTGAGAAATGAGACTAAAGAGAGACAAAAAGCAATTAAAATGAGAGCTTCAGATAGAGATCAGACTGAAGTGATAGTCAAATGAAGTCAACGTGAGAGAGAGACAGACACTGAAATTGCAATTGAGATGAGAAGTACTCTATCATAGATTGAATGCTTAACTTAATGACAGTAATCCCCAAGAATTGAATATATTGTCGACCAGTAAATCACCAATACTTTCATCACTTCATCTTTTATTAATTATATAAATTGAAATCATTTATAATGACACTAATTATCAAACGATTCGTTTATTATAAACAAAACATACCTTAAAATGATTTGCCATTTGATTGCATTTTATGACCATTTAATTGATTATTACTAATTGTAAACTATTTATCATTCAAACATTAATTGACATAATTTTGCACATCAACTCAAACACAATTCTAACTATACTTTACTTTTATTATTATTATTATTACTATTATTATTATTACGATAACTATATCTATAATTAATATGAATAACTATATAGTAATCATTCGTGAGTTAATTTTGACAATTTGAATCATTTGTATCAATCGACGTCTTCTGTAAAACATAAATACAACAATTATTTAGTGTTTTTTTGAGTCTTAAACTAAAATTATTTACAATTCGATGTATTTTTTAAAATAATCATTAGTTTATATTTTAAATTCATTTTGAAATGTCTGTAGACATAGACTATAGGAATAAATACCGAAAAAATTTACACTAAATACCGAATTTAGGGATTTTTTCTATTCGTTTGGATTTATAGAAGATTAACAAATAATAGTTGAATAAATGCTTAATAATGAAACCACAGGTGAGGGCTGATAGCTGTTTGAGTGCTATATTCCGTCGTTTTTCCATAAAATATTAAATATATATTTCTTTCACTTATTTTT